AGCGTGCTGGGAGCGCTTGGGAGCGCTTGGGAGCGCCTGGGAGCGCCTGGAAGCGCCTGGGAGCGCCTGGGGGCGCTTGGGAACGCGCCGGGAGCGCCTGGGAGCGCCTGGGAGCGCTTGGGAGCGCCTGGGAGCGCCTGGGAGCGCCTGGGAGCGCCTGGGAGCGCCAGGGAGCGCCTGGGAGCGCTTTGGAGCGCTTCGGAGCGCGCCGGGAGCGCCTGGGAGCGCTGGGGAGCGCCTGGGAGCGCCTGAGAACGCCTGGAGGTCTAATCTGAGTTTGGGTGGTGACTCACTCCACTGGGCCCCTCTCGGCCTTCGAAGGTGGCGGGCTCGCAGGTCGCAGCCCCCCTGGGGACGGCGAGTTCTACTGTGAATCTGGGTGGTGCCTTACTCCGCCAGAGCACCCCCCAGCAACCCTCGAAAGTGGCGACAGTTTCGCAGATCGCAGCCCCCTCAGGGATGGCGAGATCTACTCCGAATCTGGGTGGCGCCTCGCTCCGCTGGACCCCCCAGGAGCCTTCGAAACCGACGACGGTTTCGCAAATCGCAGCCCCACAAGGATGGCGAGGTCTAATCTGAATCTGGGTGGTGCGTCACCCCGCTGGACCCCCCTGCGACCCTCGAAAGTGGCGACGGCTTCTCCGATCGCAACCCCAAAGAGATAGCGAGGTCGACTCTGAACCTGGGCGGTGCCTTACTCCGCCGGCCCCCCCAACAACCCTCGAAAGCGGCGACAGTTTTGCAAATCGCAGCCCCCCGAGAATGGCGAGGTCGAATCTGAACCTGGGTGGTGGCACCACACTCCGCTGGACCCCCCAGCAACCTTCTAAAGTGACGGCAGTTTCGCAGATCGCAGCCCCGCAAGGATGACCATGTAGGAGGCAAGCTGGCACGCAAGAAGGAGCGAGGTAAGAGACAGGTATGACGGATGGGAGAAAAAGGGAGGCGGGAGAAGAAGAGGGTGTGTGGAGGCGGGGGAAGGAAAATAATAATACGAATGCGAAAAACAAGAAGAAGGTGGGCGACCGCACTGCTGTATCCAAAATTAATACCCAATACAGGAGTGTTGGGACACGCGTTCTGCGCGCACTCGTTTATCAGAACTCATCAGTGTTCAAAAATCCCTGCCAGGAGAAAACGATGTACACACGCGCGCCGTCGCGCGAGCTGTCTGAAATCCCTAAAACATCTGAGGTGTCGTACGGATTTCAAATCGAGCGTCCCGAAAACATATACCTACCTTGACGAAGGACCCAACCATGCGCAGTTGCCACTACCGCAATTGTGGATACCGTCTTCGGTGGCGCTCCCAATGGGGCCACGAACCGTGTGAGGGGCGCGCCGACATGTGTGGCGGAGTACGCAAGGAGAGCGAAGGCGATATGTCTGAGTACGAGAGCCCAAGCGCGGGCGAGTCTGAGCGCCAGTGATTCTGATTGTGAGCGAATTTGATTGTGAATGAATCGTGGGGGCGCGTGGGAGCGTCGCCGCTGGGGCTTTAGGTGGAGTTCCATATGGGGCCACGAACCATGGGAAAAGTGTTCCAGTATGAGTCGCGGGGACGCATGGGAACGTCGCCGTTGAGGCCTTAGGTGGAGCCCCCTGTATGGGGCAACGAACCGTGCGAGGGGTGTGCAGCAAGGAGTCACGGGGACGCATGGGAACGTCGCTGCTAGTGCCTTCGGCGGAGCCACTGGGGCCTTAGGTGGACCTCCCTATGCGCCGCCCGGGGTGTGAGGAGTGTGCCGAAATTTGGTGGCGCGGACGCATGGGAACGTCGCCACTGAGGCCTTAGGTGGGGTTCCCTGTGGGGCCACGAACCGTGTGAGCGCTGTGCCGAAATGGGTGGCGCGGACGCGTGGGAACGTCGCCGCTGGGGCCTGAGGTGGAGCTCCCTATGGGGCCACGAACCGTGCGAGGGGTGTGCCGAAATGGGTGGCGCGGACCACGAGAGCTCCTTTTGGGGCCACGAGAAAATGTGTGAGGAGTGCGCCGACATGAGTGTCGATGATGGTGGCGATGACGGCGATGTTTGACGAGGATGACGATGATGGTAATGATGGCGAAGCTGATGCTGATGATGATGATGATGATGATGATGATGGTGATGATGATGGTGATGGTAATGATGATGGTGATGATGATGTTGCTGATGATGATGATGGTGATGATGATGGCACTGATGTTGGTGGTGACAATGGTGATGGTGATGGCGATGATGATGATGATGATGATGATGATGATGATGATGATGATGAGGATGATGATGATGATGATGATGCTGATGATGATGATGATGATGCTGATGATGCTGATGATGATGATGCTGATGCTGATGCTGATGACGATGATGATGGGAGGAGGAATGGGGGGAGGAAGAGGTGGGAGGGACGCAGGGCGCTGTCTCTTCAAAAAGAGGACCTTACACGTCATGGTGGCGGGAAAAACACATAGCTTCGCAACACACCTTTCCAAAACAAACCTGCGCCCGAGCCCTTACAAAATTACAAGGCTTACCTTGCGACGTAGCCAATCAATTTGCATCAATTGACGGGAGGAGTTGGCCCAAACTTGCCTGGACAATGACAGCGCAGGCGCCGTCATATGTTGTGCAAGCTACATGGGGCGCGCTCGCGTGGCACGATTCACAGGGCAATAACAAAAGAACGAGGAGAGAGCGCCCAGGCTTGAGGAGGACATGGGGGCGGGAACGAAGGGCAGGACAAGGGCGCTCGGGGGGCCCAACCGTCAGCGCTGCAGCAGCAGAGGGAAAGTGGCAGGGGGCAGAGGACGACGACGAAAGTGACAGGAGGAGACCCAAGAGTGTTGCTTGTGTCGGTCGCGCGCAAAAGATGCAGCGTTGCCTGCGACATGACGTTGTGGCGCTCGACAAAACTATTAAACTTGCTTATAAGTTGCGCAAGAAGCGAGCGAGGCCTAGCTCGCCCGCCAGCTTCCCTGCTTCCTTCCTAATTTCTTCGGCGCGGGAGCTAAACGTTCGAAGGCGCTCCGCCAGGTCTGCTGGCGGCCCGCGACAGCGCCCCCGTGGACCCCTAGATGCCTTCAAAAGTGGCGACGGTTTCGCGGATCGCAGCCCCCAGGGACGGCGAGGTTTATTCTGAGTCTGGGTGGTTCCTCACTCCGCTGAACCTCCTGGCAGCCCTCGAAAGTGGCAACGGTTTCGCAGATCTCAGCCCCCCAGGGATGGCGAGGTCTAGTCGGAGTCTCGGTGGTGCCTCACTACGCGGATCTTCCAGCAGCCCTCGAAAGTGGCGACAGTTTTGCTGATCGCAGCCCCCCAGGGATGGCGAGGTCTAATCTGAGTCTGGGTGGTTCTCCGCCCTGCTGGCCCCCCCAGCAGCCTTTGAAAGAGGCGACAGTTTCGAAGATCGCATCCCCCCAGGGATGGCGAGGTCTAATCTAAGTCTGGGTGGTTCCCCACTCCGCTGGCCCCCCCAGCAGCCCTCGAACGTGGCGACAGTTTCGCAGATCGCGGGCCCCCGGGGATTGCGAGGTTTAGGCTGAGTCTGGGTGGTTCCCCGCTCCGCCGC